TACAAATCCCGAAAATTCCGGGATTATTTGCCAAAAATATCGGGATTTTTGGGCCCAAAAAAGGGCGGAATCCCGGAACCCCGGGATTAACATTCCTACTACCAACCTACCAAATGGAAAAAAAACTTACCAGTTGTGGTAGGAAAAGCCCATGTGTGGCAACACTGACAGCATTGCCAATAACATCAGGCATATTTATGTATGTACTAAGCTCATACACATGCATATATGTATATACATATGTACATTAGGATGCCTCGTAAAAAACGTTAATTCCACAAAGCGCATACTAAATTTTGACAGATGGGAGTTATTCGTGAGCTAAACAGTTTACTTCTTTGCTTTTCGCCAAACCCAAAAAATTGTGCGTCTGGAAACATTTTATTTTCAATGAATAGTCTAAGATGATGGATATTTAATGCAATTTTTATTAACTCTTGAATAACTCAATCCATTTTGGCTTGTATGTTATCGCCAAAAAATAATTTTATTTCGCGATAAAATTGGGATTGGGAAAAAATATTCAAATTTTACGTCTACATATTAAAAGAAATACTAAGAATTTTAAAATGATCTTTCGGAGATTTTTAGTGTAATAGCTTTTTATTTTCGTGACATGATTGGAAGAGTATTTTCTCATATGTCCAATTATTCCAAAGAAAATGAATTTATTCTTCACAATTTTGCAGGAATAAGTTTGTTGTGAAAATGGGAAAAACTAATAGAAATTTATGTATGTATGATCTATCTATGGCCGGTCTGGGGACAGCTGTTAACAGACTATTTAAGCCAACCGAATTACGACTAAAAGTGTGCTGTAAAAATTTAATTTTAGGGCCTTAAAAAATGCACAATGAAATTAGTCAAACGCAGTCAAACTTTAGCGGCATAGTTTCAGGCGCAAATTTTTAGCACGGAATTGAGGAGTAAAGCTGCGGTAACGCCTCTGCCTATAGATTTGACTGATGGTTGCCGCGCGGACAGTTAAAACTCCTGAGGAGGCTGCACATTGTGCAAGCATGTGTCAAAACAATGGCATCGGTCGGACGACTGAGGTGTTACTTCCCCTCCGCAAAACACCCCTAATGGTATACGAGTTCCTGATACCGGTCGATCACTGGCTTCATTAAGACTTACCGTGGGGTCGGGATTGCTGCGGTGGACTTTTCCCCTTCACCCTTGGGAACGAGAAGCGTTAATTTTTAAATTAAATATATCACCGTCCGGCAAAATTGAACTTTTTTTGCACCCAGGAAAAAATTAAGCGTTTTCGGAAAGTAAATACAAAAATAAAGTAGCCATATTTTTCCGTTTTTCAAGATCAAGTCATTTACGGTTTCTATGGGGGAAAACAATCCTTAACCATCGTTATGCTGAATCAGCCGGTAGAATATTGCCTTGTGATGTCTTAAAGTTTATCGTATGCAAGGGTTTTGTTTTCGTTGCTGACTACGAATTAAAGGTAGTTCTTAAAAGTTCACGATGGCGGATGGATTTTTTTTAATTTGTACAGATTTTTATGAAATTTGATATCCACACGTTCTTCAGTTTTCA